TAATAGCAACTCTGTGGCTTATTCATCTATCACAATTCATCTAATATGACATAATAAACAATATTATTAACATAGAAACATGACATATACTCTAGAATGAATAAAATATGTCATTAAGTATGTCACGGGTGTTGCTGTGTTGTTGTTGTTGGGTGTATAAGGGCCACTGAGAGCATAAGCCTTACATAGTAGTGGTGGAGGCGGCATCAGAGGTGGTAGAGACTAGAGACGGCGGTGTTGTCAGTCGCCCTATATAACTCCAACAACATTGGAGGAGTTAGGTTTGTGCTGTCCTTTTTCTGTTGATTAATTGCTTAACTTACTTGCTACACTGTTAAAGTGGAAGGAAGGCTGGGTAGGGGTCGGCCTAGGAAAGGTTGGAGGGAGGGGGTAAAGGAGGTTTTGTGTGCGAGGGGCTTGGACTTCCAGCAGGCATGCGTGAGCGTGTTTGATAGGAGTGAATGGAGACAAATGGTTTTTAATACTTGACGTGCTGTTGGAGTGTGAGCAAAGTAACATTTATGAAGGGGTTCAGGGAAACCGGCAGGCCGAACTTGAGTCCTGGAGAAGGGAAGTACAGTGCCTGCACTCTGAAGGAGGGGTGTTAATGTTGCAGTTTAAAAACTGTAGTGTAAAGCACCCTTCTGGCAAGACAGTGATGGAGTGAATGATGGTGAAAGTTTTTCTTTTTCGGGCCACCCTGCCTTGGTGGGAATCGGCCAGTGTGATAATAAAAAAAGTAATAACTTGCAATTGCACTAGGGTCTGATATAGGTTGTTAACAAGATCAAGAGTATAACTAGATTTAAATTGACAAACTAAAATTCACAAATTAAAGTACCAAAAGAATAATAAGTAAAAAATAACAATGGCAATGACTTGGTTATAATATGATAGTAAGATGGTAGACAGGTACACAGGTACAAAGGATAATGTAAAAGTTGGAGTTGAATATACAAACTTGGAAATTTGGCAACAAAATGTTATGGGAAGTATAAAATAATGATTAATGTACAAAAGTAAAATGACTGGTAGTAAATATGGTGTTTAATAAAATTTTAGTAAGTAATAATGATTACAAAAAAGATTAATTAGCAAAAAAAAAAGTGAAAAAGTAATATTTATTTCAAGTATTGAATTTTAAGAACAGTTATTTGGATTCAGTATTGCACTGGTAGTTATACTAGAGGTTATTTGGCAGTACAAGATATTTAAGAGTACTCTAAGATAGTAAATGTGGTATTAAAACAGGTTATGGCAATTAGACAAGTAATGGTAATTAAATGATGTCAAAAATATTAAGAGTAAATTGTACTGGTAGTAAAAATGGTAATTAACCCTTTCAGGGTCCGTCCCGTAGATCTACGGCTTTACGTTCAGGGTCCAAACCGTAGATCTACGTCATGAGCTCAGCTCACTCTGATAAACTGTGAGTGGTAAATTTGGGCCTAGATATGAGAGAATACATCTATGTGGTATGTGTGCACCACATAAAACAAATCCTGCAGCACACTGTGTATAATGAGAGAAAAAAAACTGAGACTGTGATTTTCAATTAAAACAGTGACTTTGCAGTGTTTTTTCGTATGCTTTTTGTAGTTGTATTTGTGATTTCTTGGTCTCATTTGATAGAATGGAAGACATATCACAGAAATAGAGATAATTTTAATTGGTGTTAGCACTGGAAATGGCTTGAAACTGAGCTCAAAGTGGCGGAAATGTTAAATTTTTGCCGATGTTCAAGAGTAAACAAACGACCTCACACGTCTTATACACGCCAGTTGGTGGGTCTAATATACATTCACAAATGTGGTGATGATATTTATACAATTATTACAATATTGCATAACAGTAAATCTTCTATTTTTTGGTGTGAATAAAAATTCATTATGTGAATAAAAATTCAAAATGGAATTTATTTGTAAAGCCTCAAAACATAACTAATGAACAGAGGAAATGTTAGTTTAGTGCCAGGAATACCTACATAGTTTATTCTGGACCCTATTTTGAAATTGGAATATTTTGAACTTTGTGTTAAATTGGCCAAATTACCAATTTCCGGCCACTTTATTTTGTAGTTGAAATGGTTGACTTGGCGATTTCTTGTGCTCAGTCGATAGAATAGAAGTAATACTAGTGAAATAGCTAAGAATTTGGTCGACTGGAATAATGTAATTGGCCTAAAGTGGGAGTCAAAGTCGGCAAAATCGCCGATTCGTAAATATCGTTGACACATCAAAATTCACGAGAGCATAATTTCGTCAATTTTCCATCAAATTTCATACTTTTTGTTTTATTACCTTCACAAAAAGATTCTCTACCATTTCATAAGAAAAAATATTTTTTTTTTTTTTAAATTCTTGGACACTGGGGCACCACTTCAGATTTTGACCTTGGACCCTGAAAGGGTTAATTATTAATTTTAGTAAGTAATATCAGTTAATAGTATTTAAGAAAATATGAGGTAGTGATATGGACAGAGAAAGTATCAATTCAGCTAATATTTAAGCAAACAATAGTAAATAAGAAAATTACATAAGGTGGCTTATGCTTACTAGTAAAATCACAAAATGAGGTAGTTGATTATTTAATTACTAAGAGATTGTACTATGAAATTTGAACAATAATGGAACAAAACTTACACTACACTACGTAGGCTTCTAGGTTGGACATTGTTTAGTTATTCTCTGTAAGATTAGTATCCCTGAGAAATCGTGATAGATCATTCTCGTTCGTGATTGTGTACAGTTGACTTACATTCGTTTTCCTAACTAGAATTTTCCCATCCCGTGTGAAGCATTGGTGTATTGTGTCATTATTCTCCCGCTTAAGTTTTCTGACTCTATACAGGAGGTTCTGACGTTTTTTGGTAAGACACACGTTTATGTATACCTCTTTCTTTACTTTAATAGATGCAATTATTAAGTCTTTTTTCCTGTCATGTGAGTAGAATCTGCAACCTGGCTTCCTTTATTTCTGACTCTGGTACTGTAACTTTTGCTTGGTCCTTTATGATCGGCAGAGTAATTTCTTTACTGTTTGTTTGGTTCATATTACTGGGAAAAAGTGGACTGTTAACTATTACTGCGTCCGATAGTTTATCTTGTTCAGTTTTATCTTCTTGGAGAGCAAAGTAGTCACTGAACTGGTTATCTAAGTTATTCTTCCATTCTTTTACTGCTTCTTCAACCTTTGTATTAAGAGATATTATTTGTTCTGCATGGCTGTCTATGACTGCTTGGATGGTCTTGCCATAGTTAGTCATTCCTGGTGTTGATAACTTTTGTTCAAGACTGAGGATTTTGTCCTCGAGTTGTGTCATCCTGGTGTCTTGTTTTGTTAGCGTCTCTCGAAGATTCATATTTTCAATAACTAAGGTGGAGTTGGATGACTTTAGGGTATCTGGATCGTTGGTCATACCTGAGAGACTACTTGGTAGGTTGAATCCGCGGAAGAGAGGGGTGGATGGGCTGGGGGCAGCCATGTTTGTTATTATTGTTGTGGTGTCACCTTGAGCGGTGGTGAGAGGGGTGGTAGCTGGGCCGGCGTCCTCCTGGCTACACTTGTTGAATAGTTGACTTTTCGGTGTTTTCTTACTGGCCTTGGTGCTGTTTCCTCTGAGATTGCGCCTCATAATACTACAGGAATTGTTGTAGTTAAGAAGAAGTTGTAGTTATACAAAGCTTAGGGTTACTTTGTTTGGCTGGCAGCGGGGTGTTGCTTTGGGTTTGAGGGTAGTCTTCCTTTGATCTCTATTATTTTTGATTTGTAGGTTTCACTGTTGGTAATCTTTGGTCATTCTGGGTGCTACGTTGGGTAGTGCAGTTTTTCTTGTAACTAGGTCATCATAGGAGCATTGGTGGCTCTGATAGTTGGAGAAAAGTATGGAGCTTGGAGGTCGCTGCTGTTGCTGCCGCTGCCCCTAACCCTCACGAATGTTAAGGGAAACCTGTATACGGTACTGTTTGCTTTAGTTTTAGGGCCGGTATCGTAGAAGGGTCCATGTCAGCAGAAGCTGCTTTTCCTGTTATCTCATCTTTTTTTTTAAGCCAAACCTCTTTGTAAAATTATCAAATCACCCCTTGCTGACATTAAATTCTCCAGCTTCCTTTTTCTTTGAGTTGTCGTATAATGAATTCGTTTTTTCTTGAATCATATTAGAGTCTATAGATATGCCTTTCTTAGATCAATCCTGCGCGCACGCCGTTTTAAGCAGATACTCGCAACACTTTAGCTCACCTCAATAGCAACAGGAGGTGGCTATGAAATTATTACAGTAGTTCATTATGTACTACAGTTAATTTTATGCAATTATAATTTAATATTGCATCTTTACATTGTTTACGTTTCTCTCGACTGTGAATGGTGCCATGTATGATCTCTAAGTGTTTGTGTCTATAAGCTTTGATTAATTTGAAATTTTTTATAATAGATTTGTGTATGTTTTATGGTAGTAAATGATAAAATGGACTAGTATCTACATATATTTTATGCATTCATGAGATACCTAACTTTTTCTTAATTTATATTTCTAGGCTATACAGTTCATCTGCCAATTTTTTCAAATTGTCACAAATCTCCCCCAAAAATTTCAATATTTTTATTGAAAAAATATGCTCATAAGTGGAACCATGTTGTTCAAGGGGTCAACTGTATTTTTTTTTTTTTCAACAAATGGCCATATCCCACTGAGGCAAGGCAACTTAAAAAGAAAAAACAAGAGTTCCTCTTTTTAAATTTATTAATTTATACAGAAGGGGTTACTAGCCCCTTGCTCCCGGCATTTTAGTCGCCTCTGACGACATACACGGTCACTGTATATACGTACATTATCTATATGTATATTTTTTTAACATGCTGGCTGTCTCTCACCAAAGCAGGTCAGCTTGAAAAAGAGAAACACAAATTTTAATCATCAAGTATTTAAATGTCTCTATACTATATTAAACCTGGGCTTGTAATTATTATAATTATAAAAACTAAGAATATTATTTTTTCAGAGTCTCAATGGGGTATTTGTGAATGATGTACCTATTGCCAAGGAAGTGGAGCATGAACTGAGTGTTGGTGCAAAAATACAGATTGGCCAGCCAGCAACATTTGTTTTTGAATTTCGGGTAAAAGAGGTCAATGTAAGAATAGAAAGCTCTTCACAGGAAAGCAACATCAAGAATAAAGTCTGAGGGAAAAAGGTTGGTGAGAAGTTTTTTCTTTTATACTTTGTGGAACATGAAGGATAGCTGTCTTGTCATCAGATATTAAACCTTTGACTGTTGAGACCCCTGCTCAAAAACTTGCTCTCAGTGTCGAAGAATATAAAAAATTATTTTTTCTTATGATAAAGAATCTTTTCCCGATGGTAATGTCACCAAAAGTACGAAACTTGATTGAAAACTTACGGAATTACGCTCTCGTGGAGTTAGGATCTCGGCAATATTTACACATTGGCGATTTTGCCCACTTCGAGCCTTATTTTTGGCCAGTTCCATTTGTTCTATCAGTTGAGTACAAGAAACCGCCCATTTACCAATTTCAGCTACCCCAAAAAAGTGGTCAGAAATTGGCAATTTGGCCAATTTCATGCAAATTAAAAAAGTTGCCACTTTCACAATAGGGTCCAGAATGAACAATGCAGACATTCATAGCAGTAAAATAACATTTTCTCTGTTCATCAGTCACATCTACAGGTCCCTCTTATCTTACTCTTGCTTTCTATTTTGAATTTCTATCACACAAGAAATAGAAGATTTATTGTTATGCAGACTACTGCATTATTGTAATAATTGTATAAATAATGTCAACTCATTTGTGACTGTGTATTAGAATGGCTAGTTGGACACTAATTGGACAATGACGTCATTTGTTTACTCTTGAACATCGGCAAAAATCGAACATTCCGCTACTTCTAGCTCAATTTGAAGGTCCTTTTCATCTTGAAACCAATCAAAATCATCTCTATTTTCTGTAATAAGTCTTCCATTCTATCAAATGAGACCAAGAAAACGAGCATACAACCATAAATAGTATATGAAAATTCGCCTCAAAGTCGGCGTTTTAATCCAAAAACAAGGTTGGAGTTTTTTTTCTCATTGTGCACTGCATGCTGCAGGATTTTTTTTTTACTGTGCACAATGACCACACAGACCCATTCTCCACATATGGGACTGCAAACCTTCTCATTGATTTGCACCTCAGATTTTGAGGCTTTACTAAAAATGGCTGAAATGTTATGGCCATTGAAAAGTCATAAGGAAGGATAAGAGTTGAGGAAGTTTTATTCGTACAAGAGTCAGTGATCTTCAGCGGGTCCTATGATTTATTAGAAGAAGAATAACCAGTAAAGGATGCTCTTAGTCTAATGGAAGGTATTCCCCTTAAACAAAAGTATGCTCTCCCATCGCTCCAGATCTCATCACCATCTTCATGGTAAGTGTATTGTGCGGAGGCTTCAGTTTGTGTGATTAGAAATTACATTTATTGGACGAAAAAAAAAATTTTTCATATTTAGGGCTGCTTCAAAGGGAAAATTTTATTCTTAGCTTATGGAATATCGCATAATCTGATATTTGCAGTAAAGACCCTTTTGACTGTTTGGTGAAAATCGTTCCCGGGTCATTTGTCTTAAATTCTAAGATCATAATTCAAGTTATAAACAGGAAAACCTTGCCCACATGTGAGAGAATGATTCTGTGCGGTCAGTGTGCACCATATAAAAAAATCCTGCAGCACGCAGTGCATAATGAGAAAAAAAAAAATCTCCGACCATTTTTTTAATTAAAATGCCGACTTTGTGGTCTATTTTCGTATAGTATTTATGGTTGTATTTCCGTTTTCTTGATCTCAATTGATAGAATGGAAAACACATTATAGAAATAGAGGTGATTTTGATTGGTTTTACTATGAAAAGAACCTTGAAATGGAGCTCTAAGTAGGGGAAATGTTTGATTTTTGCCGATATTCAAAAGTAAACAAATGATGTCATTTTCCAATAAATGTCCAAGTAGCCATTCTAATATGCAATCATGAATGGAATGACATTATTTATACAATTATTACAATATTGCAGTAGTCTGCATAACAGTAAATCTTTTATTTTTTGTTTGAATAAAAATTCAAAATAGAAAGCAAGAGTAATATCAGAGGGACCTGGAGATGTGACTGATGAACAAAGAAAATGTCATTTTAGAGCCAGGAATGTGTGCACTGTTCATTCTGGACCCTATTTTGAAATTGTCATATTTTTTAATTTTCGTGAAATTGGCCAAATTGCAAATTTCTGACCATGTTATTGGATAGTTGAAATTGGTAAATGGGCACCTTCTTGTACTCAATTGATAGAAAAAATGGAGTTCTAAAGAAATAGCTATGAGTTTGGTCGACTGGAACAATGGAATTAGCCGAAAATAGGGCTCAAAATGGGCGAAATCGCAGATTCGTAAATATCGCTGAGGTCGCTAACTTTGCAAGAGCGTAATTCCATCAGTTTTCCATCAAATTTCGTTCTTTTGGTGTCATTACAATTTGGAAAAGATTCTCTATCATTTCATAAGAATTTTTTTTTTTTTTTTGCGACACCAGGAGACACCTCAGGATTTGGGGTTGCAACAGTCAAGGGGTTAAGAGTTAAAATATAGGAAAAGTATAAAAAGATCTTACACCATGCAGTGCATAATGGGAAAAGGAAACCTCTTACTTTGTGTTTGGTTTAAAATAGCATCTTGAGGTGGTTTCTTGGGTGGTTTTTATGGTTTATCTGGCTGTTTCTTAAGTTTCAATTAATAGAATGGAAGACATTCTTGTGAAATAAGAGATGCTTCTTGAAGTACTGTAGCTTGAAATAGGGCTCATCTCGGCAGAAATTTTAAATTTTTTCTTGAGGGCAGGGTCTCCTAGTTTCTTCCCAGTCTGCTGTATAAGGTTTTACTATATGTGCTTCAATTATTAGGATGGCCTAAACTATGACCAATCATTCATGGTTATATTTTATTATCCAAGATAGAGGGGGAAGACTTTAATTTTTTGTGGGGTGTTGGATTTAAAATAGCTGGAATGCCTATACAGTGTTTATTTTTACTGTTTTTAAATTAGATTTTTTTAATTTTTTGTAAAATTGGCAGAATTATCAACTTCTGTGCACATTATCAAGTAATTCTGATAGTTAAATGGGTGGTTACCTATGCTCAGTCGATAGAATGGAAGACATAGTACCAAAGGAGCTAGGAATTGAATTGATTTGAGTGTTGAAATTGGTTTAGGGATCAAAGTGGACACAATTGTGTAAATTGTGCCAGACTAACAAATTTACACCTGTGTAATTCCATAAGTTTTCCATCAAATTTCACATTTTTAGTGTCTTTACTTTCAGAAAAAGTTTCTCTACCATTTCAGATGATTTTTTTTTTTTTATAAATTGCAACATTCAACACTTAATTTCAGGGGTCACAGCAGTGAAAGAGTTAAATGTAAATTTATTGTATTTGGGCATTCTCTTATTTGATGTAGAATTTCTTGCCAGAATGTATTCTTATAGTTAATCAGAGAATATAATGCTTGATGTATAAGTGATACTGTATATGAAACTTTAGTGATTTGTTTACAAATATATATGGTCATAACAGCATTCACTAACATCTTCCTTGCTTTGAGTGTATTGAATTTTAACTTGGACATTTAGAAAAATGTGGTAAGTAAAAGGACACAAATGCAGCTAATGTGACATTTTATTGTGGCAACATTTTGCTCTCCAGGAGCTTTATCAAGCTGTTAAAAAAATATACAGACACAGGGTATATACAGTGGACCCCCGGCATTCAGTGGCATCAGTATACGTTAAATCCGGTATTCGATACATTTTAACGCAAAAATTTTGCCTCGCCACTCGTTAAAAAACCCGCCACATGCGATTCGTCCGGGACGCGTCCACGTGAGTGCCAGTGTTTACAAGCCAGCCAATGTGCTCGCATCTAAGCATACATTCTGTACATTCCATTTTATCACAGTGTTTTTGGTGCTTGTTTCTGCAAAATAAGTCACTATGGGCCCCAAGAAAGCTTCTAGTGCCAACCCTATGGTAAAAAGGGTGAGAATTAGTATGGAAATTAAGAAAGATTTTGAAGGGTTTGGGGCTAACCCTGAGAAGCCTATGCCAGTTGTGGAATCCATTGTGCCTACTTCAAAAATTAAGGAAATGTGTGCAAAGTGGGTTGAACTGCAAACCTTTATGGATGAAAATCACCCTAACACAGCTATTGCAAGCCGTGCTGGTGACTATTACAATGACAATGTTGTGGCCCATTTTAGACAAATTGTAAAGGAATGGGAGGTACAGAGTTCTATGGACAGATTTGTTGTGCGACAGAGGTCCAGTGACTCAAGCTAGTCCTAGTGGCATTAAAAGAAGAAGGGAAGTAACCCCGGAAAAGGACTTGCTACCTCAAGTCCTAATGGAAGGGGATTCCCCTTCTAAATACTATTAACAACTTCGACACTCTCCCCTCCTCCCATCCCATCAATCATCACCAGATCTTCATTAAAGGTAAGTGTCATATATTCTATTGTTAGTAGAGTATGTACTACTAACTGTGCATGTCTTCTTCAGTTTGTGTGCATTAAACTTAATATTTCATGCGGTAAAACTTATTTTTTCATAGTACAGTACTTTTGGGTGTCTTGCACGGATTAATTTGATTTTCATTATTTCTTATGGGGAAAATTAATTCGCCTTCCGATAATTTTGGCATACGATAAGCTCTCGGGAACGGATTAATATCGTATACCGGGGGTCCACTGTACAGTGGACCCCCACCTAACGAACGCATCACATATGAAGCATTTGAACACAAAAATTTTGCCTCGCATCACAATAAAAAACTCACCCAATGTGATTCCTCCCAAACCTGTCCATCCACCCTGAGTGCCTCAGCTGCCCTGCCGTCATTGTTTACAAGCCAGGGTGCCTGGTTGCATGCATACATTTGATACATTTTGTATTATTCCATTGTTTATAGTGCTTGTAACTGCTAAATAAAGATTAGTAGGTTGGTAGACAGCAACCACCTAGGGTGGTACTACCGTCCTGCCAAGTGAGTGTAAAACGAAAGCCTGTAATTGTTTTACATGATGGTAGGATTGCTGGTGTTTTTTGTCTGTCTCATAAATATGCAAGATTACAGGCATGTCTTGCTACTTATAC